ATCATGCCTCCCAGGTACAAGCGCAGCAGGCCTTCTTCATCTGTCGCATCTAGACATGGCACCACCACAAGATCTTCCACGGCTTCTCCACCATCTGACAGTCCATCGCTTCCTCCCTTTGATATGGGTTCCGACAACCAGTTAGAGAGGTACAATAAACTTCTGTTACGCCCCATTTTACCAAATAAGTTTATTGATGCTCATGCTTTATCGATTGTTGGGCTTAAAGATGCTGTCCTTGAACCATTGAAACGTGTGGGGTGGGGATCCTTTATCGAAATGAAAGACCTTGTGTATCCTTCCCTCACCTTAGAATTTTTAAGTTCACTTTCTGCATCAATTAAATTTCCAGCTGACAGTTTTAGGATAAATTTCCAGCTGACAGTTTTAGGAATAAGATTACATTTAGAATCCTTGGAAGAAATTTTGAACTATCAATTGATGAAGTTAGTCACATTTTTGGTTTTCCTACCGAAAATGCAGTTACCCAAGTTCCTAATGATTTTATGGATCGTCATAGGTGGGGTGAGTTAGCAGACAACAGTATTTATAGTGCTCGATCATCTAAAGCATCAAAATTAAAAAGTCCCGCTTTAAGATACATCCATAAATTTTTAGTTCATACAATTTTCGGCAGAAATGAGAATGAAAGAGTTGTGAGCCGCATCGAACTTTATTTTTTATGGGCTATTAATAATGGAGTGTTGCTTTATGGGCTATTAATAATGGAGTGTTGCTTAATGTTGGATACTGGTTGTGCCAAAAATGGGCCCAAGTCGCAAGGGCCGATAAGGGAGCTATCATGATAGGTTGCTTTGTTACACGCATTGCTACTTATCTAAGGGCATGGAACCCCGCTCGACCCATTTATGAAAGCCTAGGAGGTGGTAGAGGGACTAAATTAGATATTGATCTTATGATTCACATGAGGATTGTGGAGAAATTTGGAGATTCCTACCGAGTGGTAGGTGCTCCAGTAGAGAGTTCTGATCAGGAAGCACCTCAGTATACCGGTGGCGCTGACACAGAGGAGGATATGCCACCTCCTACCTCTCGTTTTGATTTTGGTGCAGGTACCTCTGGAGCTGGACCTTCATTTCAGGGCACTTCCACCGTGTCTAATGATGAGGTGCTTGCCCGTATGCTTTCTCGTATGGATGTGTTTGACACTCGGCTCACCGGCATGGAGTCCATGATTTCTGATCGGTTCCAGTCGCTTGAGATCACACAGGGCAGCATCGATTCTCGCCTTGATACTATGCAGAGTCAGCTGCAGACTATTCTTCACTTGCTGCAGCCTCCTCCACCTCCACCACCGGAGGCTTAATATTTTTCTACCTCATTTTCCTTATTATGTTCAACATTTTATCTTGTTTTGGATTTGTTTTAAGTTTATTTACATTACTTTGGATTTCATTTACTTTCAGTTTTTAGTATTTTGGAAATTTTATTCTGTTTCTAACCTTATAGCTTGGATAATCTTCACCACCCCATTTCATTCTCTTGTCTCACATCAACCGTTGGTAATTTTCTCCACCTCTTATTATTATTTTCTCCACCTCTTAATTAATTTATAATACCCATTAAGTTTGGGGGAATGCTCATGTGAGGACAAGTGCTCACTTAAGTGGGGCATAGACATTTTATCTAACTATAAATCAATTCTAATAAAGTTTTGTTTTAGTAATAAATAAAATAAGTATGGAATAATTATGAGCATAATTTATTAATTATCTAAAAATCATTAACATTTGAATAAATTAATGATGTTTTCCAAAGTTAAATTATTTTTAACCAAATTGGATATTGTTAACATATTTCTTTTGATTTAACCAAATTGTTTAGAAAATTTGAATCCTAACTTGGAATATAAAACAAGGGACACTAAAGCCATATTACATGTATAATTTTAAAATCAAATAAAGGATGAAAGGTTTACTTTAGACAAAGTAGTAAGGAGCAAAGGAGCATAAAATGCAACTACTTATTACTTATAGTCCCATAAATATATAAGTGGTATGGAGCATAAAATGCAACCACAAAAGAAGAAAAAGATGATAAAGTGGTATGGAGCATAAAATGCAACCAATTTCCTTGATAGAAGTAGGATTACCTAAAAATGCCTTGAGATAAGAAATATCACATGTAGGCTAAAACTTGTCCTAAGTAACTAATATTCTAAAAAAAGGAGACAAAAATATTCTTTACTCATGATTAATAAAAGAATATGTTATATTAATTTTGGCTAGAAATACCTAATAGAGGAAATATATACAATTTATTCTTATGTTAATAATTTGGATATTTATTAAATTCGCAAATAATTATTCCATGCTATTTCAAGAGAATTTTATTGCTTGAGGACAAGCAATAGTTTAAGTTTGGGAAATTTTGATAGTGTTGATTTTTATAGTGTTTTTATTGTAATTTTTACTAAGATTTTTAGTACTTTTAATTTATATAAATTAGTTTCTGTATAATATTTGTATGTTTTTAATTAAATATGTTTTATTAAAAGCTTCTAAAAGCTTCCTTGAAACACAACTCACTTGATTGGGAAGAAAATTGTAGGATTTTGCAAAGAAAAGAACAAAAACAAGGCAAAACACAATTGGCACACCTCAGCCCGTGCTAAGGAACACGGCCGTGCCTAGCGCAAGGTGAAACAAGCCGAAAAACCAGAGAACTGCACGCCCCAAGCCGTGCCAAGGAACATGCCCGTGCGTGCACTGAATGTCGCCCGTGCAGCTGAAGCACGCCCGTGCCGCACTAGTTCTAGACTTCCAGAGAGATGCACGCCTCAGCCCGTGCCATACCGCACGACCGTGCGCACTATCAGCCAGACTTCCAGGAGACTGCACGGCCAGGTAAGTACGGCCGTGCGCGCTAGCTTGCCAGACCATGCTATGGAACACGGCCCGTGCCGAAGCCTCTAAACCTCCAGAGCCTGGCACGCCCAAGACCGTGCTGACCCGTGCCAGGCAGCGACGCACGTGCCAAGTCAGAAACCCTGAAATTAAAGTCAAAAGTTTGCCACTAATTTCCTACAATTTTCACAAGACACTTTGGATGCTCTCCCTCATACCAGTCAAAGTTCAACCATTGTGCATTTGGAAAGCCATATTTGAGAGCAATTTATGGCTTGATTTGGAGCTTTTCCACCTCACAAAGTTAGACTTTATTCATTAAACATAGAAGAAAATGTTCCCAAGAAGCCTATATTAAAGGGAGAAGGAAGCCAATTCAAATATATCCCCCATTCCATCACATTACAATTCACTCCACTCTCCTCTTTCCTCTACATTCTCTTAAGTCTTGTACATAGTTTTTATTTTCTTTTGAAGTTAAGTATTCAAGAGTTTGTGCAAAGTTTCAAAGAAGCCATCCAGCAATCCATCAACTAGTTCTTATTTCTAAAAACTCTTAATTTTGTTTATTTCTTCATTATCTTTATTGATTTATGGAATATTATCAAGTATTATTTGGTTTTATTTAAGTACTAATGTGTAAGCTAAATTCTTATACTAGGGGTTTTGATGTAAGCTTAATTCTTTTCCAATTTATGCAATTCAGATTTATTTTTTCCCTTATTCAGTTATGATTTATTAATGAACTTAATGCTTCTAGGCAGAATTTTTCCCTTAGCATTGATTTATTTCAAAATTATCAGCTATCGGAAAGAAGGACTTTGATAAGAAAAGGTTAAAAACACAATGAGAATAATAACTTGATGCGGAACCGCTATAAAAGCGGTTTGACTCATGGGGGGTTTTCATAAGTTAATGACCTTAGGTTATGAATTCACAAAACAAACGCAATAAAACTTAATGAATATTTAAGTTCATCGTTTGATTGCGCTATTGGGAAGATAAGGTAATTAGATTAAGGTTAAAAAATAGCTAACATACATTGGGAAGCTTGTTAGTGATTTTTGGGATTGTTTCCCCTACTTTTGAATAATTAAATTGATTAATGAACTAATGAAATAAATTGGATAGGTTAAGTGAATATCAAAACCCTAGTAGTTTTACTTCCTTTGAATTTTCTTTAATCATAAATTCGCCTTGCTTAACTTCTTTATTTTTACTTGTTCTGAATTTAATTTCCCATAAAACAATTTCCCTAATTGTTATCGTTTAACAAATAATAATAAGATAACATAATTTTGGCTACTTGGATTACAATCCTCGTGGGAACGATATCTTACTGCATCATAATATTACTTTGTAGCGATTTCGTACACCTGCGAAAATAAGCTGTCAACCTACTTTTGGTGATTTTAGAATTTTCGGAGAAGGTTCTTAATAGGGCATAGATAAATGAAATAGTTGAATGAAAGTGAAAAGGATAAAATAGTACGTGAATTTAATTGAAAATATTTTATTATTAGACACCAAAATATAGTTTACAATAATTTGGCTATTGTTTTTTTTTTTTTTTCTTTAGATGGACAACTTGATTGCATAAGTATTCAAATTCGAAACTTTCTATTTCCTAACCAGACTACATCTTATTATTATTATTATTATTATTATTATTATTATTATTATTATTATTATATGGAAAAATTTTCTTTTATAATGTTATTTTAACATTAAATATCTAGATCTTTTAAGTACATATGGAGATTCTTTTTTCCTAACATCTAGATTATTCTAGGTTGATTTGTAACCCTTTGTTTTTGCTTCTCCTAGTGCAAGAATGAATATTAATATTATTGGGTTCCAATTGTAAACAACATTGCTCAAATACCACGGAAAAGAACTTCACCACAATATTACTTTATATTACTTTATCTCAATATATATATATAATATAATATATATATATAATATATATATATATATATATAGTGAAGAAAAGCATAGGAAAAGAGTTAGAATCCAATCTTGTAATTATATATATAGTATATAATATTTATATAATAGTGAATATATATATATATATATATTTATATATATAGTGAAGAAAAAAGCATAGGAAAGAGTTAGAATCCAATCTTGTAATTAAGAACTAGTAGAAACTTTATTTGTCATATATAATTCATCATCATATTCATACATTGGAAAGATGAGGATATTACAGGGAAATAGCATATAGCATTAGCAACAATAATAATAAATTTGTTGTCCTTTATTTATGCTACTCTATATATAGAGCAAAAGTAGGATTAAAGCCATGGCAGCCACTTTTGGTAGTTGAAAATAATTTCTTCCATTCAGACTTTGTAATTGACTGCATTCAACAAGACTCCCATGACACCTGCTACTTGGGTGACATTGTTCACTAGGATATTGGTATAGTTTTCACGTTGTAATTGAACTGGCTTCAGAAATACACCATTTACACATTTCTGTATTTGATAAGAGAGGTCTCCCCAGTTGTTCTCAAGGCTAATTATGTCACCACCCGGCCTAAAGGTTTTGCTAATTTGACTTAATACTTTTTTCTCAATATATTTGAATCTTGCTGCCTCTGGAACCATTTCGATAAAACCAACTAGAGGTTTAGCAATGTCTGCTGGCTTTGAACTTTTTTCAAGTGTATATATGTAATTATCTAATGCCTGCACCCCTAAATCCACATCCTCTCTGTGTACGTTTGCCCTAGATAGAAAATCTGCATAGCTACCAGTAAATGATAGCGTTTGTTGCTTTGTGTCTGTGAAAAGATATGTTTTTGCATCAGCCAAAGATTCCGGATCGTTAAAGAAATAGGAAGTACCTCCTACCTTATAACCCACTAAATACGCATTAACGACGTTTAATCCTAATGATACTTCTAAATTCGCTACATTTATGACTTTGGCTACAATAAATTTCTGATTTGGAGCAACTGTGGCCCGTAAGACTGGTATTTCATGGCTTGAATAACTGAAGCCAAATGCTTCTCTTAGATCTTTAATGAACTGGGCGTAGTTTTTCTTATCAGTAGTAGCGTCATAAGTAATGGTTAAAGTTGGAGGGGAACCAGCTTTGTAGTTTTGGTTTGATGAGAATGGACAAACTATTTCCCTAGCCGATGCCCATCCGAATATAATACTACTCCAGCAAAACCATGCAGCCACCATAATGGAGAGATTCATCTTTCCACCTTTCATATTGATTTCACCTGTCCAGTTGTATGAAGAAACACAAATATCATTATACGAATACGATTATTTTAATAGAATTGCATAAAATTATAAAAATAATTAAAAAGAGATAGAATGGTCACAAGTTTATCATATAAAGGATAATAAACTCATTTCCAGAAGCTAGAAATTAACATGCTAATAGTAAAACAAAAAATGGAATTTGTCAACAACAAAGAAGGGCAGAGGCTTCTATATTACTTACAAAGAAAGCAACTGAGCAAACGGGGAAGTAAAGAAGAAGAGAGCAAGAGATGGTCTTTTGCCTTCCCCCATCACCTGCTTTTATAGGGAAACTGCCTTCCCGGCCCTTTATTTTGTCAATTTTTTTTCTTTATTATTATTATTATTATTATTAGCAACCAAACGACAGTTTCATAAGATGTAAAATAAAGACAAACAACAACATATCCCAATGAAAAAGAATTATTGAAAATCCAAGGAAATGCCGAGTCATAGCGGGTGTGGGGCGCTGATTTTGATGACCGATGATTAGAAAAAACAAAAATTGATAAAAGACAAACGAGAAATATGACACGTTTAGAAGTAATTTCAAGCTTTTGAACACTATCATCTTTAGTGTTTTAAGCTCATCAAAGAAAGATTACTCAAGATTTATTCAACATAAAAAAGGAAAAAATAAATGCATAAGAAGGGAGGAAATCCATATTGAAATCCAAAAAAATCAAAGGTTTTTGTAATACCCCGAATTTTTATTTTCGAAACTTTCGAATTTTTATTAAATCAAAAATCTTGATTTTCAACTATATGGGCTATAAATACCAAAAATCTCAATTCGAGCCCAAGTTCGCGAGTTGGGCCTAAGCCCAAATATATCATTGGAATTTTCAATTTGAGAACAGTTAAAATTTTCGAGAAATAATATGAAACTCTAACAATTAATCTATTATGTATATATATAAATTAATTTCCCAAAAAAATCAAATATGATTACTAATTATATTTTTATTTTTATGGAGGAAATGTTACGAAACCTAATTAAAATAATCAAAATAAATCAATCCGGATCCGGAAATCAAATTAATTTTTCGAAAACCACACAAATAAATTGAAAACCAAGTGAAAAACATACAAACCGAGCAAAATCAAGCCAAATCGTTGAATCAGACCAAATCAGTTCGAATCGAACAAACCGAGCAAAATCAAGCCAAATCGTTGAATCAGACCAAATCAGTTCGAATCGAACCAGAATGATCTAGAAACCGACTTGGTTTCTTTTTCTTCCTCTCTTCTCCTTCTTCTTCTCCAGTCACGCGACAGCCTCCTCCTCCCTTGTTCACTGTGTTTTCCGGCCATCGACCACAGATTCCGACAACCAAGCACCCTAACTGCAAGTGCTCGACGAGAGGAACCCACCTATGGTCTCCGTTCACGTAGTAGACGCCGGAAGCGAAAGGAATCATGCTTGAAGTGACGGTACCCTCCGATTTCTATTCGCTGGCGATTCTCGCCGTTTCGGGCAAATATAGCCAGCGAGAGGACCTTCGATCGACTCCTCTTGGTCTTGCGTGTGTTTTCCATCCCTTGGTTCCGATGATTGGGCTCCGGTGGTGAAACCACCACTAATGGTGGCATTAAGCTTCGATCGGCGTTGGTTGGGCCAAACGGACCGTAGACTCAACAATTGGAGCATGGATTTGAGTTCTTGGTGAAATTTTGATTTTAAAGGTGTATGAAGTGCATGATTCTGGGCAAGAACGACTTTCTGGCCATCGTGCACGGGGGCTAGTGGCGGCGGTCCGGCGACACTCCGGCGAGGCCCCGAGAGACAGAATTCTCTTCTCTTCGCGCTGATAATGGAATCGTCGCCCAATTCTCAATTGGTTTGTTCTAAGACCAATTTCCTCATTTTCGGTATAAATTATAAACTTAATAATTATTAGTTAATTAAATTGAATTTGAATGAATGTTAATTAAATTGAATTTGAATGAATAATCGATCAAATATAATTTTGCTAAGAATCAGTCGGTATAATATTGATGTAAGCTAATTTAGGAATTTTAATAAATATTGATAGGGGAGGATTATAATTTAAGGCTTAGACAAGTAAACAGTTTTAAAGTAATTAATAATATCATTGAATCATGCTTAGAGGTCAATATAGGTTGTTAATTAGTTAATTTTGAACTATTAAGTGTATATATGTGAGTTTGATGGATGATACATGTAGTTTGAAGCGGATGGGTTGGTTGAATTGATTGCCCGGTGGATGGGCTGTGTGAATTGATTGATCGAATAATTGATAAATAAGGTTATGGCGGACGGGATGAGTTGATTTGAATTGCCCAACGGATTTGATTTGAATGGCCACGGATGGGCCTTTGATACTATAAGTGTTTGAATTGTTGTTTAGGTCAAATTTTAGGGGAGGTTGCTTGTCGAAATTTATTAGAACCTAGACTAGTTTTAATTAATGACATATTATAGTTATTTAGATTATTCCTATAACTTAATACATAGTAAATAAAGTGCTCTAATTATTTTACTATCTTCATTATTTATTTAATTATTCAATTACTTATTTATTTTCATTATTATTGTTTATTATTATTGTTATTTGTTCTATCATTGTTGTTTATTGTTAATATTACTTATTTAATTGCATTTGAGTATGAATGTTTAAATTGTGCGTTGCATTCCGATGTTTAACTGTTCAATATGTCTGCATTTAATTGCAATGCTTGATTAGTTGTGATGTGACAATGCTTGCCATGTTTGTGTGGGATTGGGATGAAGTGGGTCATCATGGGTTTGTGAGACTGTTTCTGTTATACGATGTTCTGTTTATTGTGATGCTAATTCTAATTCTGATTCTGATTTCTGTTTATTGGATCCCTGATTCTAATTTCTGTTAGCGGGGTTAATGGGAGATCGGCGCTCGTGTGCACCTACTTGCCTCTGATCTAGTATGATATGGAAAACCATGGGTTTGGTATTCTTTGGGCGCACCTGATGATTCTAGATTTGATCGTTGCCCAGCGGGTGACCTTCTGTTGTGTGACCTGATGATTAGATTTGGGGAGACGATTGAGAATCCGCCTTCGGTATACAAAAGAGAGAGGAGAGAGAGAGAGAGAGAGAGAGAGAGAGAGAGAGAGGTGGAAAATAATCGGAGGACGATAGTGTGAGGATTATATGGTCACTAGATATGGGGATTTGGGCTCCTGGTGCAGCATGTGGAGTGGATGGCCTGTGGGAGGACGGTCATCGGGTTTCGGTGACTACGCACTGACTAATTTCCACGTGATGTGAATTATTGAAGATGTTTATGATTTGTGAGTGCTGAGTAATGTGCCATTTGTGTGACTGGTCTGCGTGAGCATGTGAGCATATAACTAGTCGGATGACTAGATTGATATGTTTACACATTTGTGTGACTGCGTGTGTTGTGCAATAATTATTACTCAGAAAACTCACATGTCTTGTTTAATTTTTCAGGAAGTAAGTTTCTCTTTAATTCGGTTTAAGCTATGTTTCTTTGCCGCAAGGCTATAAAGAAGTTTTCCTAGTTCCATAATTATTTTGTTATGTAACTATATGTATAAGAAGCTATGGATAACAAACAGTTAGTGACTCCGCAGTTGTAGAATTTACATACATTTAGTCGTGTAATAATATAGATGAAGTAATTCTGTTAGCCCATATTAGAAATGTGTTGTATTGTAAATGGGGCTCGAACTGTAGAATGTTGAAGATGATAAATTTGAGCCAAAGTATAATAAAATCTTGAGGTATATTTTCTTGAGGTATATTTTTCATATTAATATGGGTTGAATGTTGAAAATTTATATTGAGATAATAGATTTTAGTGATTCAGGCTTACTACGGGCTTCGGGGGCCTGAAGCTTACCTGGGCCCTAATGCCGGTCCGGCCCATGGAAACGGGTCGTGACAGTTTTATTTATCAAATCACATAATATATACAAATGAGGAGAGAAAGCATAAGGTTTAATATTAGTATCAAATCTAACTTATGCTCCGTTTAGGATAAATGAATTCAAAATATAGAATTCATTTATAAATGAATTCTAGTATGATTCATTTGTGAATGAATTTTCATATTTATTATGATTAATTTAAAATATGTAATTCAATTGAATTCCACATAATTATGTATAAAATAAATTCATAAGTGAAAATTCATTTGCTTTTGTTTCCTAAAATATAATTAGAATAATAATTTCACAAAAATAAATAATAAATAACAATTATATTTATGTTATGCTACGTTATATACATTTTATGTATCAATTTTATTTAGACAAAACTAATATAAGAGTATAGCAAAAACATTTCAATTGTTATAATAAAATTCTCTGCTATTTGGCATACCTTCTACCGTGATAACCGACTGAAATGTGTCCGACGGCGACGCAGCTCAACTTCTACACCATAAAGAACTCAATAGCGACGAGTTGGTCAAGGGATCGTTATAGCTGGAACATTCCATACCATGTCGACATCGCAGCGAGACACTCATCATACAACTTTGCCTGCATCGCTGTACATTTGAAATCACAATGTATTGTGTCGTCCTCTTTTGAGTTCCCGCAAGTATACGGATCACAACGTAGTAATAAAATATCGATCCCACGAGGAACGGGTTGAGTTCACTTGCTACTTTACTCTTAGTGATGTGTTTACATGAATACGAATACAAGAGTGATTAAATTTTATTTATGCTAAGGCTAATGTTTAATTAAATTTAAAGACAAGTGTATAGTCAAATACTTAGAATAATTGATCATACACAGGATTTTCTGTTTTCTATGCAAAAGCTTGTAACATACAATAAAGAATTCTTTAATCACATATGGTAAGATGTAATTCAACTTCTCAGTATAGAATTATACTATCTATTATTACATCCTATTATATTTATTCTACATATAATAAGACTTATCTTGATCTAAATATTAACTAATTCTTATTCTATTGAATTATTTCAATAAGACCAGATTTAATTTCAAACAGAAATAAACAGTGAAACAAGTGATGTCGCCATATGGATAAATTCAATTCAATGACATCTAAATCTCTTTGATCCTTTACTAAACTATTCCTTCTAGAATATAATCTAGTAACTTTGATTAAACAAAGAACTCAAAAGATAACTTTAAGGAGAATTTTTATTGAAATTACTACCAATTTAAATTGTTGCTTTCTGCATAGAAGAGTTATGAAGAACAACATACAACAAGTTCTATAAAACAAACCGAGGACAATGAGTAATCGTAACCTCAAGGCCTCC